CTGGGCTGGGCCTTCCTCCTTCCCCAGCTCTCACGGTGTCTCGTGGTGGCCGCTGCTGGCCGCTGCTGGCCGCCTGGTCCTCAGCTCCTGGCCCCTGGCTGTCGGCTGGGCTAGTGCGGGACCTTGGCCGCTGGGGCCTCGGGCTCTGCTGCCGCCTCGAGGCCGGCTCCCTGGGCGTCCCCCAGGAGTCTGGGGGGCCAGCTGGACGGGTCCTCAGGCCTTTCTCCTGCCATAGGTGCCCACCTCCCACTGGCCCAAGCCACTGAGGAAGGAGCCAGAGGACCAAGGGTCCAGGACATTATGTGGCAGGGACCCTTCCAGAAGCCCAGCCCTCAGTACTTTGTCCCTTTGTCACTCTGACAGGTGGAAGCAGAGTTAGGGCAGCCGTGGCCTTCTGCGGCCATCGGTGGCCGTCCGCGTCCTTGCTTGGTGCCATCGAGCGGCAGCTGGCCCCTGCCCCGGCACCGCCTCAGCGGCCGCAGACCTAGCAGCACCCTCGGCCTACGACGTGCGCCGCCCATGGTGGCCGGACCTGAGGACCTCACGGGGCCAGGGGGAGGACGTGGCGGCCCGCGTGACTTGGTGACAGGGCGCGTGGCCCGAGGACCTCCGGCCGCAGTGCTGCGCAGGCCTCAGCCTGTGGTTGAAGTCCCTGACGGAGGGACAGACAGCGACGGCAGAAGATGAAGACGGTCGCGGCTCAGATCCGGCCAGCTGTCACCAGAGATGACCTTCTCCTGGCCCCGAATGAAAGCGTCCTGCGAGGAGCGGGGACTGCCCACGCCTGGGGACGCAGCAGTGACGCCCGTGAGGCCCTGTCCTAGGCAGCTGTTGTCCCCTCCCAGCGGGGTCGGGGAACGGGCGTCCCTATGCCTTCTCAGGCGAGGACAGGGAGCCAGCGGCCCCATCAGTGGCCCTGTCCCGGTGAGACCAGGGCGAGAGGTCCCCGCCCCTCCCAGTGAGGACAGGACAGCTGCATGCCCCTCCCCTTTCAGGGAATGGACGGAGTTGGCCCCAAGGGAAGGCTCCAGGAGGGCGGAGCGGCAGGGGTGCCCCTGACCCCAGGCAAGTCCAGACTTGGACATCTGGAAGTGGCATTTCCGGTGACTCTTACGGAGTGATCAGAGGTGTATGGATCCAGCTTGGCGCAGCGCAGCCCTGTCATCCAGGAGCTCGGAGGCTCAGGCAGGAGGACGGCAGTTCAGAGCCAGCCTCAGCAAGAGGCCAAGCACCTCGGCGAGGCCCTTCTCTAAATAAGATACAAGACAGGGCCGGGGTGTGGCTCAGGGGTCCAGGCCCGAGTTGGATCCTGTTCAAAATATATACCAGCCCTGTGCTTAGGATCACGTCTACACACACACACACGCACTCGTAGTCACGGGACGGGGAGGGGCGAGGAGGGTGCGGAACTGGCCCCCGTGGCCGCGAGAATCGGCTCACACCACACTCCCATCCGCCTGGGTTTGTTCAGTGACGGCGATGGGGCTGAGGGCGGGCTGCGAGTCACACGCTCCAGGCCTTTTTCTGGTTCGTTTTGGGAGAGGGTCTCACAGTGACTTGCCGTCCTCCTGGTCACCTTCCTTGACAGGAAAACCCTGTGGGGGGCCAGGGCACTGTGTCCCCTTCCAACAGAGGGCCCCACCAGAAGGAGTGTGTCCACAGTGGACGGCGTGATACCAAGTCACAGTTTCCCCTCCGGAAGGTCCCCAGAGTGTCACGTGGGAGGTGAGGTCGTGTTCAGCCAGGCTCAGAGGCGGGCTGTGGGGAGCACGGATGACGAGGACAGCAGCCTCACCAGGGGCTGAGCCTGAGCCTGTGGGGAGACGGTGGAGACTGGGAGTCAGGGCCTGGTGGGAGGAGGGAGGTCACTGGGACCTGCCCTAGAAGGACACATCTTGTGCCTGGCCCCTTCTCTGCTTCCCCGCATAAGGTGAGCGGCTCTGCTTCACCAAAGCCCCCCGCCATGGTGTGCATCGCTGCAGGCCCCAAACAGTGGAGCTGGCTGACCACAGACTGCAGCCTCCGGAAATGAGCCCAGTGAACCTTTACTCCTCAACCGGGTTTTCCTCAGTTAGTTTGTCACAGCCATGAGAAGCTAGCAGACACCAACTCACCAGCTATCAAAGCAGATGTTCCAGAAAGAGTGGAGCTGAAATAAATGTGTCCTTATGATGGCGATCCTGCAGATCAGGGCACCTTTAAGACGTCTCCCCTGGTTCCCAGCCTGGATGGCCTCTCCCAGCATCTCGAGGACAGAAGAGGCCCGGAACACCCAGTGTCCATTTTTGAAGATCAAGACAGATGACAAATATTCACAGTAAGCTATCACATATTAATACCTGCAGAGGGATGTCACCTAACACGTGACACTCTGAGGCTCTGTGTATCTATTCATGTTGCATTAACACCTAGCAGTTGGACGATGTGTAAAGTGCGGCAGGAGATTTCGATACACACGGAGAGTCCGTGACGGTCAGGTGGGGGTGACTGGCATATTTCTTTGCCTTAGGAACATTCAAAATCGTCCCTACTCTGCTGGAGACCGTAGAAGCCACTCCTCAGGTCCAGCTGGGCTCGGACCAAGCACATTCTGTGTGTGAAGTACAGATCACCTGGCCCAGGGCTGGGCGCAGCCACCGTTCTTCCCTCACCCCCATGCGGAGCGCACCCACTTACCAGGGAGGACTGGGCCTCTGGTTTGGGGACTGGCTAACTTCACGGACTTGGTACCCTCCGGCTCCGTCCACTGACCTGCACACCCACGACTGTCCTCTAAAGGCCGAGTCATGTTCCGTGTGTGCCACGGTTCCCTGTCCACTCGTCCACTGAGGGGCATCTGGGCTGGCCCCACAGCTACCTGTTGGGAACGGAGCTGCTAGGGACATCGATGTGGCGGCATCGTATTCCTTCTTCTTTTTAAAAGAATTAAAAAATAACTCGGGAAGTAACGTGTCAACTTTTTTTTTTTCAAGAGTGAGAGAGAATGAGAGAGAGAGAGAGAGAGAGAGAGAGTTTTTTTAATATTTATTTTTTAGTTCTGGGTGGACACACCATCTGTGTTGGTGTGTGGTGCTGAGGATGGAACCCGGGCCGCACGCGTGCCAGGCGTGCGCGCCACCGCTGCGCCCCATCCCAGCCCTGGTTTTCTGCAGGAGGGTCGCGGGCTTCTGTTGCTCTTAGCCTGCAGGAGCGCCAGACGCCCAGGACTCCAGGGCTTTCCGTTGTGCCAAGGTCACGACAAAGGTGGCCGGTAGCCACAGTGAGTCGTGCACAGAACTTTCACCGACGCTGCCCAGAAGGCTGCAGACCTCTAGACACAGCAGATCCAGGAAGCCAGGGGACAGTCAAACGGGCCATGAAGACAGATGGCCACTGTCAGGGTGCTGCCTCCGCGTTGGGCCCAACCACTTGCCTTGGAGGCGAGCTCCTCAGGACTGGCCAGTGGGCCCCGTGCTGGGCCCCGTGCTGGGCCCCGTGCTGGCCCCCGTGCTGGGCTCCGTGCTGGGCTCCAGGCAGTCCGTGACAGTTCAGCAGAAAAGCTTGGGATGCCTTGGATCTGGTCACTTCCGCCACTTCTGCTGGTGCCCCTCGCTCAGCTCGGGGGCACTTGAAGAGCAATGGCTCTGCTGGACTCTGACAAAGGAACACTGGAAGGTGCACGTAGGAGCTGGCCGTGTGGGAGGGTGCGCGGCACTGTCCACCCAGCTGGGCAGCCTCTGTGACGGGTGCAGTCCTGCTCTCGGGCAGCCCCGGCAGGGCCTGGGCTGACTGTGGCTGTTGGTGCCAGGGCAGAGCCTGGGGCCTCCTTTGGCAAAGGGGAGGGAGCGAGGGGCGGTGAGGGGGCACGGGGGCAGGGCAGACGGGGACTGACACACCAGCACAGAGGCTCCTGGGGGACCACAGCCGGGCAGAGAGGGAGGAAAAGCTGCCTCCGTTTGTGTCCCGTGAGCTGAAGTGCATCCTGCTGTCAAGTGAGACCAACCAGAACAAATTCTAAAATGTTAAAAAAGAAAGGAAAAGAAAGAGGCTGCTCAAAAAATGCCCAGAGCCTGGGGCGAAGCTCTAGGGGGACATGCCCGGCTGTGCCAGGGCCGTGAGCACCGGGCTGAGGGCCCCAGGGGTTCTCTGCCTCCAGACCCCAGACCTAGAAGCACCCCAGCTCCTCCTCAGCCCTGGAGCTCCCCTGGGCAGGACGTGCGTTGGTCACTGACAAGCTCTGTCCCTCCACCCGCTGCCTGGTCACGACCCCGCCTCTCCCCAGGCTGCTCTGAAAGTCCCGTCAGGAAGCGGCACCTTCCGGAGTCTTCCTCAGGTGCCTGTTTAACTCCACGACTCTGCTCTCTTGCTTTTCAGTGGTGACTGGTGTTGTCTTGCTTCTGTCATCATCTGGAGTCGACGTGTCAAAGAGGGGACGGTCCCAGCTCCTGGGAGATGAGCAGGAGGACTGCAAATGGAGCCCAGCCTGCAACACCGAGACCTCCCAGAGGATGAAAAGCTGAGCGCTTGCCCAGCGTGCGTGACGTCTGCACCCAGCCCCAGTACCGCCACACAGGAAAGGGGACCGGGTGGGAATCCAGGCTGCCAGGGCCACGGTCAGCGGCCAGTGGAGCTTGGGCTTTCCCTCCGGTTTACGCCGTGGCCAGGCAGTAGATGATCGGGCCAGGGGCATGGTATGCAGTGTCTCCCAGAGGATGCACACTCATGGGACATGGCGGGTGCAGGCCTGGGAGCGCTGCCGACTGCTGCACTACAGCCCGCCAAGGGCCTCTGCACACGCAGAATCTGCAGCGCCCGAGTTCTAAGGCACCTTCCCAAGGAAACCAGTGTGAACCACTGTGACCCCAGAGAAAGGCCATCAAGTCTTCCGCCTCGGCTCCGACTTGGCAGGTCACAGAGAGCCGTGACGGGCTCTGAAGCCACAGGCACTAATGACAACCACTACCTGCTGGGAATGTGCCGCAGTCTGGCTGGGCACAAATCACGGAACCGCCACAAAGCACTTGTATGGCCAAACAGGAAACTTTATTGCTGAACTCCACCAGCACTCCACGCACTCCCCGGGGACTCTCCCCAACGCCACCCACGTGGCTCCTCTCCGGCACACCACACCAACCGGAACTCCCTCCTCCGGAACTTCACCCACCAATGCTAAATCCCCACGAAATCCCACGAGAACTCCAAAGTAGCGGGCGCCAGGTGGACAGCAGGGGCCTATGTACAGTTGAATCAATCCAGCATCATCTTAGTGGCTCCCCTCCCGAGCATTACTTCTGGCAAAATGCCAGGGGCCATTCCGACTGGCTGCGGCTCTCAACAGGAATGAAGTGACAGATCCGCTAGACAAGCTGCCTCAGCAGCCCTATAGGGACACGGGCCCTCAGGGAGGGGTCAGGGAACCACAGAGCTGCAGCCCAAGCAGGAACCTGGGAGCGCGGAGCCCAGGAGCGCCCATGACGGGAGGTGTGTGGACAGTCTGCAGCGCGTGCCCAGAGGGTGCCGGGCTTCTGTGGGGCCATTCTAGATGGGCAGAGATAATCAGAACAATGCGCTTGACCTAGGACCACAGGTCACCGTGGTAAATGGGTGGCAATTTATAGACCCTGTCTCCCAATAAAACTACTGAAAGGGCCGGGGCTGGGGCTCAGCGGAGGCGCGCTCGCCTACATACGTGAGGCACTGGGATCGATCCTCGGCACCACGTAAAGGTAAAATATTGTGCCCACCTAAAACTAAATATTAAAAAAAAAAAAAAGCTACTGAGAATACTGGTTATCCACTTCCACATCCCAAAGCTCACACGCTGTCCCCCGTGAACCCAGACATTCACTTTCCAGCCTTACTCATGCGGATGGCAATTCAGTGGGACCACTGACACACGAACTTCACCTTTATGCCAGAGGGTCTCTCAACGCAATGCAGTGTGTCCAATATCCAGTCAAGATCAAAATACGATCACAAATCAGCTGGGAAGAGGCTCTTTGAAGAACCTTCCAGAATCACTAATTCCTGTGCATTACATGAGTCCACTAGCAGCAAAGGAAGACGCCTCTTTCCATAGTGAAGAATGAAGAGAAAGGTGGACAGTGTGTGTGTCCAGTACCTGCACCTGTGGCCTAGAAAAGCAAGTTCACATTCTGACCTCAAGCTGGAAACAGACGTAGGAATCAAAAGCTTCTCGTGTAGGGCTGTGAGGCACGGGGTTCAAGTCTCAGCACTGCATAGGAATAAATCAGTAAGTTTCCATCAAGTCATATACAGAGAAAACTGCTAATGTAAAATCACCTCAAACTGCACACGGTAGCACCCATAGGTCCAAGATCAGAATGTGCACTAGACAAGGCTACGTGGACGCCCGATTATTTGAAGCCTTGTATAACAAAATACACTTAGTACCAGTGATGGTGCCCAACAGGACGTTCATTGCTCATGTCAACAGCACCAAGAAGAGACTGAACACCAGGGGTCCCTGCTAAGGTGAGGCACTTGAAAGGCGAAGGTTGACAACAGTGGAGACTCCCTCCCAGGTTTCCCCTTCTGAACATCATGGGGTCTTCCCTGGTGTGGTCTTCCTATCCCAAGGGCTTTAGGGCGAGCGCGCCAGGTCCCACGCCTGTCCCACACCGCTGTGTTCTCAGCTCCTCTGCAGCGTGTGACCTCCCGTGGGCCTGCAGGGACGCCAGGTACCTGAAGGCTTTCCCACACTGCTTGCACTCGTAGGGTCTCTCCCCGGTGTGCGACCTCATGTGCACGCGCAGAGATGAGGCGCAGCGGTAGGCTTTCCCACACTGGGAGCACTCGTAGGGCTTCCCTGCGCCGTGTGACCGCAGGTGCTTTTGGAAATACTGCGGGTGGCTGAAGGCCTTCCCGCACTGCCGGCAGCGGTGAGGCTTCTCGCCACTGTGGGTTCTCACGTGCTCTCGGAGGGAGGAGGCGCAGCCGAAGGCTTTGCCACACTGCTGACAGCCGAAGGGCCTCTCCCCGGTGTGCGTCCTGGCGTGGATGCGCAGGGAGGAGGAGAAGCGGTAGGCCCTGCCACACTGCGCACACTGGTAGGGCCGCACGCCACTGTGGGTCCGGGCGTGTCTCCGGAAGTAGGTGGCGCAGCTGAAGGCCTTCCCACACTGCTCGCACGCGTGCGGCTTCTCGGCCGCGTGCGTCCTCAGGTGCGCTCTCAGCGACGCGGGGTACCTGAAGGCTTTCCCGCACTCTTTACAGTCGTAGGGCTTCGCCCCGCTGTGAGACCTCCCGTGTTCCCGAAGGGACGAGTAGCACGCGAACGCCTTTCCACAGCGGGTGCACTCGTAGGGCTTCTCTCCAGTGTGCGTGCGCGTGTGATCCCGAAAGGAGGAGTAGCAGCTGAAGGCCTTCCCACAGTGCGCGCAGCCGTAGGGCTTCTCCCCACTGTGCGTGCGCACGTGGTCGCGGAAGTAGGAGGCGCAGCTGAAGGCCTTCCCGCACTGGGCGCACGCGTAGGGCTTCTCCCCGGTGTGCGTCCTGGCGTGCCGCGCCAGGTAGGAGCGGTACTGAAAGGCCTTCCCGCACACGGCGCACGCGTGCCTCTTCTCCCCGCGGTGGCCGCGCGCGGGCGCCTGTGAGGATGAGGGGCAGGAGAGCACTTTCCCGCGTTTCTTACGTTTCAGAGACTTTTTGTTACTAGGTCTTCCCACGTGTTCACTCGGCGCTCCCCCGGTGTCCCCTCGTTCCTGGGGTCTCTCTGCAGTGTCAGTTTTCGCAGGGGGACCCGCCGCTTGCTCACGTTCCTCACGAGGATGAGGCTTGTGTCCAGTGGGCGGTGCTTGCTGGTTCCTGGAGGCCCTTGCACGCGTGGTACGTTCCCGGGGCTGACCTCCACTGGGGACACGCCTGCGCACAGCATGGCCCTCGGCGTCCCCATGCGGACCCTCCGTCTGCCTGGAGAGGCCGTCCACCATGCCGCCTCTGTTCAAAACAGGAAGCACACTGTTAAGCCGCCTGCAGGTCCCGGCCGGCCGCCGCAGCCCGTCAGCAGGTGTGCACGACGGCTCTGGCTACTCCGCCACCTTCCTGCTTACTGTCAGCACTGCTGCCTCAGGGTCCTGGGCCCCGGGCTTCACGTCGGCCAGAGGCCCAGGCAGCCTTCACCATGGCAGCGTCCTGCCTGGGGACCGCCTGCTGGCGGGCCAAGTTGTTCCAGATTCTCCACGTCGACATCACATTGATAAAAGTGCTCCTATGGAAACTCCACAGGCACCCAGTGTCCAGCAAGGACGACGCGTTTCATTTCGTCCCGAGTCAGCCTAACATGCAGAGAGGATGCTCACACGCCCGAGTGCACTCACCTCCCACGCCGGTCCTGCACCTGGTCATCGCCAGGGTCATCCAGCCTCCAGCTTTCTCCAAAAGCAGACCAGAAATCCCTTCTTGTAAAATCGTCGCTGGATATTCCATTTCTCAAAATGTACTGCTGAAAACGGGACCCGCTGGCTTTAGTGTGAAAGCAACAACCTGGGACAATCGGTGACACAATTATTTCTTGGGAAAGGAACTGAGATAACAGACCCCAGGTACATGTCCTTCTGTATTCTGACCCAGAAATATAGTCTGGGGTTGGTCAGTGGGGGGAGGGATACCCCGCTTTTTTAATATCTGTTTTTGATTTAGGGGGACACAGTGCCTTCATCCTACATTCACGGGGTGCTGAGTTGAGCCCAGTGCCCCATGCATGCTGCGGAGCACTCGCCCTCTGAGCCCAGCCCAGCCGGGAAACCCCATTCTGTAAGGTGAACCTGGGACTCAGGAAGCCTGGGAGGACCTTGGTACTGGGCTTTGTCAGCGCAAAGGAAAAGGGTGCGATGCAGCCTGCTCCCTGTGAGAAGCTCCACGTGGAGGAGGCGTATGTTGACAGCACCAAGGGAGGCCTTGGGCAGGATGCACAGCCCAGTCCTGCCACTTCCAGGGGTGGTGACAGGAGGGACGGGAGGGACGGGAGGAGCAGGGACCAAGGGCACGGGCGGACTTGGTCCCTGCACCTCATGCAAACTGCTCCTCAAGGGTTCCTGCTCTCCTGTGTCCATACGCAGGGACTCTGGAGGGATCGAGTCTCGGTCCCCAGCTGCCACTGGAAGCTCAGGTGGGTGTGAGGGCTGCCACCACGTAGAGAGGACATGACAAGAGCAGCAGGGAAGGGCACCACCTGGCCTGCGCAGGACGGCTCCGCTCCAGGCTGCTGCGGCAGGAGTGTGAGGCTCACTCCAGCAAAGTGGCCACATCACACGTGGCTGACCAGTGGAACCCACAGGAGTGACCCAGAGAGCTGCTTTCTACGCTCCAGAGTGACACTGGGACTGTGCCTACTTACAGAACTCAGGGACCTCAGGACTGTGACCACGAGGGTGAGGCGGTCCTCAGGAAGCGGAGGCAGCAGGATCCAAGTTCAAGGCAATTTATCAAAACTGTGTCTCAGAATTTTAAAAGGGCTGGGACGTGGCTCATTGGCACATGACCCCTCACTTCAATCCCCCGCAGCAAAAAAAAAAAAAAAAAAAAAAATACTGCTAAGAAAAACGGCGATAAGATATAAAATCTTATTTCACGGAGAAGACTTTTTGTGTGTGTGTGTGTGGGGGGGTACCAGGGACTGAACTCAGGGCACTTGACCACTGAGCCACGTCCCCAGCCCTATTTTTTTGTATTTTATTTAAACAACTCTGGGTTTTAGTGCCTCACTCTGCTGAGGCTGGCTTTCAACTCTGGATCCTCCTGCCTCGGCTCCCAAGCCGCCAGGAGAGGACTTCTGTCTCTCTTGAAGCATGCTCCAGTTTCTTAGCCCAAAGGAAAAAAGACATTTTCTCCCCTCGAGGCTCAGGAGAGGAGAGCCGCCACCCCACCTGCGGAGGCCAGGTTCCTGCAGGTCTCCAGCATCACATCCCTGTAGAGGTCCCTCTGAGTATCGTCCAGCAGGGCCCACTCCTCGGGGGAGAAGTCCACAGCCACGTCCTCAAAGGCCACTGGGTCCTGGAACGTCACACATTCCGTTTCAGAAAGGCACGGTCCCCCGTCATGCAGGGAAGGCAGAGGCGGGCAGTTGGGGACACTGGAATCGACTCAGGAATCCTGAGCCCTTGGCCCTCACACTGCTGTGTGCAGTGACAACGGGCCGCAAGTGGAATGTCAGGCACCCTGGCAGGGTGCTGTGGGGACAGGGGCAGGGGCAGCTGGGGGTGCCCTCACAGAGACTGAGACGGCAGTCAGGACAGGGAGAGATGGAAGACGTCACCAGTTAAGTGATGTGGAGACCATATGTGGCTTGCTCAAATCTCACAGCAGCCACACCCAAAACACCAAGTGCCCATCAACTGACAGGGCTGAGCAAGATATCTATCCTACCAAAAAACAAGGGTGCCCCTGTGCACCACTCCACATTGTGTGGGTCAGGACTCACTGACCCCAGCTGACAGACCCTGACTGGCCAACTGTGAGGGGTGTGGTCAGTGGCAAAACAAAAAGAATGGGGGGAGGGATACCCCATTTTTTTAATATTTATTTTTTTATTTAAGTGGACACAGTGCCTTTATTCTACATTTTCATGGGCAGGGGTCTACGCTACGGATGGGAAGCAAGCAGAGAGGGTCCACTGGGTGCTCAGGACCCCCACTCCTTCCCTCCAGGTTGTGACTTAGAAATACTCATAGGCCTACCGCCCGTCAACACGACTTCTCCCTTAGTGAGGCCATCATGGGTCTACTCAGTGTGCACAGATGATACTCTGACTGCTCCAAACCCAACCACGGGAAACAGCTCCAGGCCACCTCAGTAGCTTTCCCGAGCACATGGCTCCTTCTGCCGTGGTACCAGGGGCTGGAGGCCCCACAAGGGAGGCTTTTGAGCCACCCCAGGTGCACCTCCACCACCCGGGCAGGCTCCACTGGGGCTCAGCTGAGACACTGTCCTCAGACGCCAGTCCCCACCCAGGTGAGGCACCTGCTCCACACTAAGCCCTTCGTGGTGTCTGAATCAGAATGCAGCAGAATCACACATCCATCGTGTTCAAGAATGGGGAGGGCAGGTTCTAAGACATGTATCATCCCTCCAAGATCCCTTGAAAACAGCACCAATCATCCTTATCCTCAACACTCATCCTCACTACTTACCCTCATGATAAACTGTAAATTTAAACTGTGAATCAAACCGACACTTCTCAGTTTTCTGGGTTGTGTTTTGCAGAAGGGGCATTATACCTGATGCCCAGACACTAAGGAGAAGTGGGACAGGGTCCTGCATGACAGGGTCACTACGATTTTTACATTCCTTTCCACCCAAGTCTTCACCTTCCTCTCCTGAGTTGTGGGGTGGTCTGTGTCTTCCTACAATTTTAATGGAAAGGTAATGAATGTTTCCATATTTTGAGACATTTTTCCCCCAAAGCACACTCAGGCAAAACCCTGGAATACCATCTAACAGCAACAGGCAAAAAACAGATCAAAAAAACTTCCCACCTTCATTAAGACAAGGGAAAGACAAAAGAAGCTGCTATTTTACAAGGAATGGAAGCTGAGCTGGACCAGGAAGCACTGGTGCTGAGCTGTGACAGGTGCTGCTAGCCACAGCTGGCAGTGACCTTGAGCCGGGGTGAGTGTGTGCTCCCGGAGACAGCAGAGGGGAAAGGAATCCCACCCTGTGTTTTGGAGATGGGTTCTGGAAGCACATGAGCCGTGAAGGGTCGTGCCTTGTGGGCCCAGGAGATCAGACCCAGACCCTCCAAATTCCCACCCTCTCTCACATACTGGATAGCTGGTCCCCGCTGACCAACTGGAACAAAACGTCTGACAGGCAAGCCTTGGCTTTCTTCCAGGGCCTGCATGAGGGCGCCCTGAGCCTGCAGACAGCCCTCCTGAGAACCAGCTGGCATCAGGCGGGTGGGCCAGCACGCCGAGGACTGACTTCATCAATCTTCCCACGACTGGCTCTTCCTAGCCTTGTTTAGGCCTCCCCCAAGGAAAACTTCTGACCCAGGTCTTCAGATGCTGTGGACCTCGCGAGAGAAACACTCTCCTGTTCCAGTGCGCCCTCTGCCCCTACTGCCTCTTGCAGGAGACCCCTCCCCATGTGGCCACAGTCCCTTGTCCCCTACGTCCAGTCCCCCCATAATCCTTTTCGATACAAGTCTGTGCGGGCTAAGTTTGGATGTTTTATTTCACACGGGTGGTGCCCAAGTCTGAGCCAGCACAAAACTGTAACCTGACCGCCTGTCCCCGCCGGCCTCCCCCTCACAGCTCCCGTTCGCCTCTCCCTCCCTGCTGGATTCCGAGACAGCGGCAGGGAAGGTCACCCCAGGTCCGATCCGCTCCCTAAAGCCCCAGGCTGACCCCTCAAGTTCCTCGGCTGTCCCTCCCCAAACTGACCCGGGGCCCCTGCCCGCCGCGCCACCCCCCGAACTAGCCACCAGCTCCAGCTCCTCCCGCCCCGACCGTCTTCATACACGGGCGCTGGGACACTGTCGCCCACGGCCCAGGCGCCAGTGCTCCGCGCCGCTCTCCGGGTGTGGCCTCGCGGAGCCGTGGACTCCGGGGCGCAGGGATTCGCAAGGCCGCCCCTGGGCTCGGGCGCCGCCCGCTCTCACCATCCTCCGCCCTCCCGGGCCCGCGCTCGCTCCCAGTGGCTGGCGGACAGCGCGTGCACCTTCACCTGGGACGGCTCAGCCGCGAAGCCCCGCCCCGGCCTCTGATTGGTTCCTGCTGCCCACGCCAGAGCGCTCAATTGGACGGTTCCCCCCCCCGGAGCTCTTGATTGGCCAGTACGCAGGGCGCGCTCCCAAACTCGCGATTGTTTCTGGGCTCCGCCCCGTCTGCTCTGATTGGACGTTCTCCGGGTTCCGCCGACCGCCGCTCCAAGGACGGGCGCGCGGGAATTCGCCTGTGCCCCGCTTCTTGTCCCCGCGTCTGTGTCTGGGTTTGCGCTCGGCTCTGCTCTGCGTCCTCCTGGACGTGGGCACCAGGTGTGCACGGGACTGCAGACTCAGTTTCCTCCGGGGGACGCCCAACCCGGACAGGACTGGATGGCACAGGGGACCTGGGTGCCCGCGGGGTCAGAGTCAGACAATGACATCAGCACGTGGGCTGAAGTCGGCTCCGAGTGCACGTCGGGCCGGGGCACTGGACCCTCCACACGACTTCCCGGCGCACGTAACTGGTGCTGGACACCAGGACGGGGACCTCAGGAGCCCTGCTGCACCGGGGAGGGGCCGCAAACCTCAGCGGCCAACAGGCAGCAACTCAGATCAGCACAGCAAAGAGCCGAGGGCTGCACCCCAGGTTCCAGACCCTTGAAGAACCTTTTAGATTTGCTTCTGAGGGTGTTCCTAGAGGACCTGAGAATGTAAAGGCTGCGATATCCCTGGGACAGTAGTTGGTTTGGTTTTGCTTTTCCATTTTGCAGTTCCTTTAGGTAAAACCTAGTTTCTTACATAACAAAAACAAACATCCAGTTATTAAGCACCTCCATCAGTGGACACCCCATCTCCTTTTTTTTTTTTTTTTTTTAAATTTCTTAGTTGTAGGTGGACACAATACCATTATTTTACTCACTTACTCATTTTTTTAAAAATTTTTACACAATACCTTTATTTTGTTTGTTTTTATGTGGTGCTGAGGATCAAACCCAGGGCGTCGCTATGCTACACAAGTGCTCTACCACTGAGCTACAGCCCCAAATTCCATCTCTTCTTGATACCCAAGTTTGCTTCCATATTTTTGCAGTATTTGGTGGACCCTGAGGCATTGGCTAATCTGGTGATTAACCTCCCTTAGAATCCTAGGAACCTGCACAAAAGCGGAAGCCCTGATGCCAGGGGTACCCTACAAGGCTTGTCTCAAAGCTTCTGATACACCTGTCTGTCAGTTCAAACTCGGAAACTTGTAAGCAACCCTCTCTGGGCTTGAGAACTGCAGTTCAGAGTAACATGGCTCCAGGTGACTCTGTGTGACTGCTCAAGGGAAGGAGAGGACCAAGGAAATTCCCCAAGTTGCCTGAAAAGACAGTGCAGAGATGCTATCCTCATGCTAAATCTAGTGGCACTGGGCTGTGTGGAGGTGACTGGTCATTAGTGGCAACTGCCTAGCTGCAGTCCCCAGGGAGCGACGTTAACAGCTTCGCAGACCCTGACCTGGTTCAAAGGTCAGTTTCCTGTTAATTTTCATGCCCAGTTGAAGAGTTCACTTTCTCAACCAGCTGAACCTGTCATCCCAGCCACTTGGGAGGCTGAAGCAGGAGGATCCCAAGTTTGAGGCCATCCTCAGCAACTTAGCAAGACCCTGTCTCAAAAACTAAAAAGGTCTGGGGGTGTGGCTCAGTTGTTAAGTAGCTCTGGGATCCATCCTTGGTGCAAAATAAAATAAAAAATAGAGTGCCCCTGAGTTCAGTCCCCAGTGCCACTAAAAAGAAAGGGTTCGCTTTCCTAGGTAGCCCTTTAGTACACGCATAGACCTTGGTCCCCGATGGCCTCCCTACTCCATTTCGAGATGCTCCTTAGAAGTTGCTTTTTTCAAACTTTCTTCTGGATTCCACACATTGGGATTGTCTGTCCTGTCAGGGAGCCTTACTGAAGGGGTATGTTGCTTGACTACCTAACCCAACCTTTTGGTAGACACCCTCTTGCCACTGCCTGTGAGCCCCTCTGAATTCTTTTTAATTGATTTTTTTAAAAAGTAGTAAAATCCTGGGGCGGGGTTGTAGCTCAGTGGTACAGCACTTGCCTGTCATGTGTGAGGCACTGGGTTCAAATCCCAGCATCACATGTAAATAAATAAATAAAGGTCTATTGACAACTTAAAAAAAAATTTGTTTAAAAAAGTAGTAAAATTCTAAATGAGTTTGGTTTGAACCTGAACATCTTAAGGAGATCCAGATATAACCAGGCAGGAGGACTTCAAGGGCACTCAGGAACTTACAGCTGACCCCAGCCAGCCTGTTCCTCTGGACTTGCCACGGGGGGGAGATGGTGGAACCACCAGAAAGCAGATCCGGATTCCCTGGACTCACGCTCTGCAGCTGCTCAGGGCCTCCCATGCCTGTGGCCGCAGTGTCTGCGTGTGCTGCAGTTACGTCTGGCACATCCCCCAAAAACCTATGTCTTAAAGGTGGGTCCCTAACTCCGTGCCATAGAGAGAAAAGATTTAGCCAGATGCAGTGGTGCATGCCTGTAAACCCAGTGAATTGGGAGGCTGAGGCAGGAGGATTGCAAGATAGAGGCCAGCAATTTAGCAAGACCCTGTCTCAAAAATAAAAAGGGCTGGGGATGTGGCTCAGGGTTTAAGGACCCCTGGGTTCAATCCCTGGTTCCAACAAAAAGATTGAGGTTCATGTTCCAAAGCTGCCTGACCTCTGCCAGGAAACGGCTTCCCTCTTCTCCCACCCAGCGACCCCATGAGGGACCTTGGCCCCGCCCCAGCCTTGGAAAGGTAGCACGGAACCGGAACCGCAGAGCTGGGTCAGGGGGAAGCTGAGGGTGGACCCTGGCTAGCCTCAGGCCCAGCCCGCGGGTGTCGAGTGGGGGTCTGGGTGAGAGCCGGGTCCTGGGGCAGGTGGGCGACCCCGGACCGCACTAGGAAGGCTCGGACTGTTTCTGAGCGCAGACACCTCAAGGGGACCGAGGTGGACACTGAGCCTCACACGGAGAACCATCTTTGCAAACCCGGCCACGAGGTTCATTGATCAGAGCTTCCTATTGAAAGCTGCAGACTTGGCTTGTTCTCTTTTCCCACCTTCTCCTTTCATGACTGCATTCCCGTGCCTGCCACTAACAGTCCGCCCTGCACTGTCCCCCACGTCAGCGCCAGGCTCTGTGGTCTCTCCCAGACCTCCGCCCACCCAGGGCACCCCCTCAGACGTGCGCTCTGATGTCATCTCGCGGCCATCATCTCCTCCATTTCCCAAACAATTAGGCGCTGGCAGACTTGGGATCTCCTATCAATTTGTCGTTAATAACTTCACAAATGATCATTCATCTGTTAACCAGCTGCCGGTTCCACTTAGGTAGAGGTGCCCGACAGGGGACAGTCTGCCGGAGGGCAGCACGGCCTGGCTCAGCTCTTACAGGTGGTGGGCTTTGGCCTCCCAACTGTCAAGGGCCACAAGAGGCTCCTGGCAGAGCGCGTGCCTGGCATGCAAGGGGCCTTGGGGGCCACCCGCACTGGAAGAAACACAGCCCTGCTGGCCTGGGCACCAGTTCTGCCAGAGGAGGGGCAACTCGCCCTCTGCCCTGCGTGGAGGACTAGGTCTGCCTCCGCCTGCAAGCCCTGGGCGACACCCAGCTCCTCCGTCTTGCCTGGCGCTGGGCTCTCCCGTCTCTGCCTCCCCAGTGGCTGGGACTGGGGATCCTCTGAATGACCCGCGCCTTCCATCCTGAAGCCAGAGTAGCGTGTCGCCCCATGGACTGAGCTCCACCCACCTGTTCCTTTGTGATGTTGCCCCTGTGCCCTGTTTGGCACAGAATGCTCCTAGGAAACGCCCTTTGTGTGTCCCCTTCTCCTCCTCTGCCCTTGGGGTGGCCTACCCAGGTGTCAGTCAGACAGTGGACATCAGGAAGCTGGACTCAGCCCCCGAAAACTGACTCTGGCCTCATTAGAATGGCTTCTCCTCAATAAAAGGGTTCAGCACGTGCTCTCGCCCTCTCTTTCCACGGACCCTTAAGGTCAGAGGAGACATCGCAGGACCCAAAGAAAAAGGTCCCTTTGTCTCTGTGTGGTCATTTCACGCAGCCCAGTCCCCTGGAGGGACCCTGAGTGTTCTAGTGGCGAGGAACGTGACACGGGACGACGGGCAGGTGCACTGTGCCCTAAGCCCAGCACCCTACAGGGGCCCCGTGCTGCCGGTTGGGCCTCACTGCCCCTCTCCGACCGCCTCTCAGCTGTGTGACGTCCACTGTAGAGGCCAGCCCCTCTCCACCTGTGCACCTCCTGTGATGGACAGCCGGTTCCACGGTGTGGCTGTGGCCAGTGCTGCGGGGAGCGAGCTGCGGGCCATGGCTACTCCAGACCAGTCCCAAGGTCCAGCCAGCGCACGTCGGACCGGAGGAAGCGGAACGCCCTCCTCCGCCCCAGGCAAACCCACGCCCCGCGGGACCCGCGCGCGGGACTCTGCCCGTGCGCGAGGCCCCACCCACTCCCGCCTCGGCACCGCCCCGGAAGTGCGCTCCAAGGCGAGCCCGCCCCCTGCCCTTTGAACTTCGCTTCGCCCTTTGCCCTTCCCGCCCTGGGCGCGTGCCAGCAGCCAAGGCCACGCCAGGCCGAGAGCGGCGAGGAAGAGAGGTCATCCTCGGGAGAGGACCGCTGGGACAGAGACAGCCGCCCCAAACAGCAGGCCCGCGGACCGACAGGCCGCTTCCGGCTATGCAGGAAGCGGAAGAGAAGACGAGTCCGGGAGTTGGGATTGAAGGACGGGCCGCGTCCTCCAATCGACGACCAAAGACACGCTGTTCCCCGCCCCCGGGAAGAGTGGAAACCTGCGGTTGGTCCCGCCCCTCAAGGGGCGTGGCCCAGAGCGGATTGTGCTGTGGGCGTGGTCAACCCTGGGCCCGCCCCGGGGCGTGGCTCTGGGCCGGGAAGAGGCCCCGCGGCGAAGCTGGGGCTGCGCTACATCCCTCTGCGCCCGGAAGCGCTATGATGAGCGCGCCCCGTGCTGCCGCAGCCCACGGTGGGGAAGTTTCCTCCTGGGGTCCTCCAGAAGTTACTCTCCGCGTGGCGGCTCTTACACTGCAGGCGCCGCGGTTCCGTCACGGACGCTAGATGGCGACCTCGCTCGCATTTTCACATTTGCAAATATTTCATTGTTTCCTGGGATAAACTCTGCAAAGACTCAGGAAGTGGAAGGCATTGCCCTCCAACCAGGTCTCCCACGGCAAGCAGGGTCGGTGACAACCTTGGATGGCCTTCCAAAGCCGTTCTGTGTCCATAAGCAAAAGTGCATTTTTTTCCAGTAAGCATCCATGACGCATCTATGTCCCCAACTTCCCTGTGTTGAAGGGATACAGCCACAAACGGATCACATGAATCCTCGCACCCTTCTTAGGTTTCACTAGGGAGGAACAATATGAGAAAATGGCAGTATATAATAAATGTCCCAATATGGTGGCGTGGGCTATGGGGCCAAGAGACGGGAAGGAGAGAGGAGGGGTTTTGAGTACCTGTCCTTCTGCTGCTCCCTCCAGTCCTGCCAGCTGTCTGACTCCCAGCCACCCAGGGAAGGCCCCACCCCGCCCCCCAGCCTTTTTCAGGTCCAAGGCAGGAGCTGCCCAAGGGCGGCTGAGGCGAGGCCTTGAGAAGCTAGGTGTGTGGAACGTGGAAGTACGCGAGGTGGGACACACAATCAATTGCACTATCACCGTTTTTTAAATTAACTCTTGGAAAGTCACTGTAAAGGAAAGAAAGTAAAAGAAAAAAACATTTATGAATGCACACAAGGACAGCCAGGCCTCCCAATGCAAGGACTCAACCAATCTCTGAGCATGTTGAAGAGTTTAGTCTGCGGAGTAGGGGTGCAGCTCAGTGGTGCACAGCATGTGCAAGGCCCTGGGTTCCATCTGCAGCCACACCCAGGCACACACAAAGAAAGAGAAATTTCTTTGTAGTCTGTATGGAGCAGGTAAGACTGTTCCCTCAACAATTACAGTGTAACCACTATGTTCCGTGCAGGCATGAACCTTGTGCTTCCTGCTGTAAGTCATCTAGAGATCATTCACAGCCTCTCTGAGGATGTGCCCAGGTTCTGTGCATTTTATATCAGGGACTTGAGCTTCTGTGGAGTCTACTCTCTCAGGAGGACAATGAGAAGCGTATCCAGAATACATAAATAATCATTTTGATAGAGGAGAACCACCACAGGAGGCCCCTCTTTACTCCGACACCCCGGTTTGCTGTTGCTCCCCTACGTGTTAGGGCAGAGGGGCACAGAATGCACTTGAGCCAAGAAGGGCTGATATGTATGATCTATGGGAAGATGTTTATTCACTAAAGAAACGAGGATAAAGCTAACGGGGCAAAAAGATAGCACCCGGAAACCAGGTGCGGGGTGCACTCGGGAGCGCTTCCTCCCACTTCTGCGTCTGAAATTATATCCAAAAAGTCAGCCCAGCCTGCGGGGCGGGGCGGGGTGGAGGACACCGGGGTCCAGCTCCTAGCAGGCCCGGGCAGGAGGGTGCAAGTTCAAGGTCAGCCTGGGCATTAGCCAGGCCCGGTCTCAGACTCAAGCCAGAAGGGCTGGAGGTGCCGCTCGGTGGGAGGGCTCCTTGGGTTCAACCCCCAGAACCGGGGCGGGGGCAACCCCCCAAACAGTCTCCCTGTTTGGAGAGTGAGTCGGTGCCAGGCGACCGCGGGAGGTGGAGCTGCGGCCTCCACTCTCCCTTCCTGAAGTCCTGGGGGCTTCCTGCCCGGAAGGTGAGTCCTGTTGGGGATCTTAGGATGCTTGGCTCGAGGCTGACACATTACGGTGGGGACGGGGCAGAGCCAAGGGCTCACATCAGGTGCCAGGAACAGAATGGCCCCCCAAGCCCCTTCCAGGGCCCCCAGTGACAGGAGGCTTCCCCGGCCTCGCCTCTTAAAGGACCCCCACCCCGAACAGCGCCCCGGGACCCCGCCTTCACCCCGGGCCTGTGGGGGACACTCTCGCCAGCTGTGGCCAGGAGAGTGGAAGACCGTGGGGACCTGTGGGGACCTGTGGGGACCTGAGCGTCCATAAGAACGCGGGATCCGGAGGCAGGGAAAGGGCCCGGGCCGCTGGCTCACTTTGCAGCCGGCTAGTGAAGAGGGGTTGAGGCCAGAGCATCCCGGGGAGCTCCTGGGGGAGTCTCCAGGGCCTGAGGGGCCAGCGAGGCTCCGGAAGCTTCTGCAGACCTTGGCGTTTTACTCCGAGCAAGTAAGAGCCACAGAAGGGCTTTGAGCAGATCAGGGATGGAACCGACTTTTTTTTTTTTTTCTTTCAGTGCTGGGTCAGACCCAAGTCCCCACACATGCTGGCAAGTGCTCTGTCACCGAGGGGCACCTCCAGCCCGGACGACTTCTTCCTCCTCCTCCTTCTTCTTGGGATGGAACCCAGGGGTGCTCTACCGCTGAGCCAATCCCCAGCCCTTTTTATTCGTCTTGAGACGGGGTCTCACTGCGTTGCTTAAGGCCTTGCTAAGTTGCCCAGGCTGGCCTCGAACTTAGAATCCTCCTGCCTCAGCCTCCTGGACTGCTGGGATCCAGGTGTGCACTCTGCCTGGCCCCATGAACTGTTTTACATGCCTTTGTCCAAAGTCTTCGAAACCCTGTGGGCACCACACATTCCATTCCGCCGCTCAGTTTGGGCACTTAATTTTCAACTCAAATGCTTGCTCTGTATGTAGATTTCATAACATCTGCCTTTAAAAAATTCAGTTTCTGAGCACAAATTGTTCCCAACACATCTACACAGGTCCCTAAACATTTATGGTAACCAGCTCATGCCTGGTCACCAAGCACCGTCCTGGTTCTAGCCCTGAACGTCCTTCCAGAAAACCAGGATGGTGGGTCAATCTAATTGAATGTCTGTTTTTAATTTAAATTTTAATTAACTAAATTAAACATCCATTTCTTTGGTCCTCCTAGCCACACACGTGGACCGCAGAGTTCAGAAAGAACGACATTTGCTGAGTCAGATGATACAAATGACCATCGTCCATCTGAATAAATTCACAGACAACTGTATTAAGAAAGGAAGGGGAGGAGCAGGGGCTGTGGCTCAGCGGCCCTGGGTTCCATCCTCAGCACCAATGAAAATGAATAAGGAAATAAAATAAAGGTCTCGTGTCCAACGGCAACTTTACAAAAAAAAGAGAGGAAGGGGTGGCGAGCTCTCCCCTGGTCTCAGAGCCAAAAGCTGATACCTCCGCAGGGAATCCATAACGTCCACCCTGACGAAGCCCCAACCCAAGCCCGACTGCAGTACTGGACAGTGGTCCCAGGACATCAGCATCAGGGTCACCGTCCTCAGGCCGGCCACACACCTGCGCTAGAGGTCCGCCCGCTCAGTCAGCAAACGCCAGGGGCCCCAGCACAGAAAGAGGTGGCGGGGGACAGAGATGGACAAAAAGAACACTTTGGGATGACATAATTGTTCCAAAGTTGGATTCTGGAGATGGTGTACAGCTGAATTCTTTTATTGAAATTCACTGCAGCCAAGGCTTAACATGGGTGACCTCATCTCGGGTGGATTAATTCAGCAAAGTTGCAATAAGTGTCCTGCCTGCAGAGGGAGCCAGAGACCACAGGTTGTGCTCAGAGTGCGGGTGGGGGTCAGCGGTGACCCTCCGCTTCCAGCCTTCCAGAGGAAATGACCTGGAGGCCAGGGCGGCCTAATATGGTCCTTCCAAGCCCGGGAGCTCCTGGTGCAAAGCCAGCCCCCTTCATTTAGATGCTGGCCAACCCCGTTTGCCTTGGACAACCTCGCAGGTCCTGTAGGGCCATCTGACACCAAGTGGCTGGTGGCCAGGGCCTTTACCCCAGGACTGGGAGAGCTGGCCACGGCATCCCTTCCCAGTCACAGCCCTCCCAGGGGCAGGGCTCCTACCTGGAAATGTGCAAACGGACCCCGCCCCTGGCCATGTGACCAGGTGCCTTGGCCTGCCCATCAGAAGACCCTCCCCCTTTTCCCTAACTCAAAGGCAAACACAGACACAGATGGGTCCCCCCCTTCCCTGACCACCTCAGCACTGGAGGGCCAGCCCAATGCAGACAAGTGTCCAGAGGGAATGCAGGGACCTCGGAGGCAAAACCACCTTCACCCCCCAGTTGAGGCATGCAGAGAAGTACGCACCAAACACGTGTGCAGAGTGGACAGCCATGCACCCAGCATCCCCCGGACAGCCAGCGCCAACCAGGAAAGCAGTCCACGAGAAAACACCACGGGGTATCCGCTACAATTAGGAACACGGGAGGAATAAATACATTGACAAAATAATGTTTGCCTGGCCAGTGGCACATGCCCATAATCCCGGTGACCCAAGAGTCTGAGGCTGGAGGATTGCAAGATGGAGGCCAGCTTCAGCAATTTAGGGAGGTCTAAACGACTTAGTGAGACCCTGCCTCAAAATCAAAGGTAACACCAGCTGTGGATGTGGCTTAGTGATGAAGCACCTTGGGTTCAATCACAAGTACCAATCAATAAAATAAGGGAAGCCGGGCGTGGTGGCTAACCCTGCAACTCCAGCTACTCCAGAGGCTGAGGCAGGAGAATCGCGAGTTCCAGGTCCGCCTGTGTGAAATAAAAAATAAAAAGGGCTGGAGAGGTAGCTCCGTGATGGAGCCCTTGGCTCACACCCACAGGCCCCCGTCCCATCTCCAGCACTGAAAAATAAATAAGCGAAGAAATACCTGGAGGGAGAAAAATGGAAGAAAAAAAGAAAGGAATCCAGCAGACAGTGAGGAGGCAGGAGAGTCCACGCTGAGAAGAGATCTTCCTTTTATTTTCTGGTGCTGGGAATCGGACCCAGGGTGCCACCCCTGAGCCACACCCCCAGCCCTGTTTTATTCATATATTTATTTATTTAAATTTAGAGAGAGGCTCTTGCTAAGTTGCTGAGGCTGGCTTTGAACTGGCGATCCTCCTGCCTCGGCCTCCTGAGCTGCAGCGATCATAGGCATGCGCCACGGCACCCCACTGTTGAGAAGTGATTTTTAAACTGAGGCCTGATGGTGGGAGGAATTTGAGGAAGGGGAGAGAGAGACTCACAGGTGGATGATGGTCCACCAGTGACAAAGGTTGCAGCACAGCTGTCTTGTCGTCCTGACCTCAGAAATGGTGTGAGATGATCAATGTCGCCTGGGTCAAGCTGCCAAGTTCCATCGTGGCTGGTGCATTGGGGTTTCTCCTGAAGGGAGAGCCAGGTCTGAGAGCCAAACCCACTGATAGAAGGAGCACAGCTTCTCCACGCTTGGTCCCAGGGAGAGCCCATCCAACGCCACTAGGTGGGCACTCCCAGGTGGGCACCTGGGTCTGGTATTACACGGTATGGGTTATGGTGCGGATGGCTGGAATTGAGGCCTCAGTGAGTGTGGCTGTGTGCCCCCAAAGCCCACGTGTTGGAAACTGGTCCCCAGAGATGTGTTGGTGGTGTTGGAGATGGGGCCTTGTGGCAGTGGCCAGGGCCAGGCGAGGTGGGAGGGG